AAACCTCTCCTACAGTCACCAGTGAATTCATCCTTTATGAAATCCTCATCTCTGACGTTCCTACCTCTATGCCACCTCCCATTCTTGCTACTTCGATCTTTTCCGTTTCACATGTTTCACTGCCAACATAGCACTGCAGTAACACTTTAAGGTGGGAAGCGTATTTGTCCTTCCGATGACCTGTTTATGTACGACAAGTTGAGAAGATAGTTTGCCTAAACTGAAAATTCTTGATATATGTTCGATTGCATTGTGTGCATGGTTTAAAGCAACCTCCAGGCATCTGCATCGTGCTTCATCTATTTTCTTTATGACCAACGGGGCGTTCTTCCAAGACATCAGGTGTGAAGCCGAGTCCCTATGTATTACGTAGAGGTTATTCATGTTGGGAGTCATGTAGGTATGCTGGTGTTCTTTCAACCTGATCTGTAGGTTACGGGACATATCTCATACGTATTTCTGGTCACACTAGTGTTCTTGCAAGGTTCACAACATGAATAATGCCTGAATGATTCAAGAGGCCAGGCCTCACAGATGGTGGTTTTTGGAAGAACTCGTAGCTGGTCAGAAAGGAAATGGATAAAACGCGATGCAGATGCCCGGGAGCTGCAGTAATCCATATACTAAATACAATCCAACAAAACCTAGTTTTCAGTTTAGCCAAACCTTCAGCCTAACTCGTTGTACATAACCAGGTCATGGGAAGGACGGGTAGGTCTCCTAGATGGAAATAAATGGTATAAAATACCGACACAATAGAAAAATAAACGCATAAGCAGTATAATGTGACCCTTTATTGACAACGTTTCGCTCACACAGTGGGCTTTATCAAGTCACAAACAGATCTGACTCACGAAATCGTAATTACACGATTGCAAACAAACCATACCACAGGCAGGGTAGGTCTCCTGCAGTGCTCTTATTTCGCAATTTGCCTCACAGTGACTTCACTGATCCAGCCACTCACCTGCCTTTAATTAATATCACTTGTCATATTCTCCATTATTAACCATTGAAGTCCTCCTCAGGATGTGACCCACAACAGTCTACTAACTGTTGTACATGGAATCTATCTGCTTGCCCTTATATTCCGCCTTGTTTGAGGGGTTCGAGTTAAGTACACTAAACCCTGCGCTACGCGTTATATATACACCATTTATATGCCCTCAGAACAATTTTACAAATTTATATTACTATTTGAAAAATAACTTATAGATTTCATGAATAAAACTTATTATTTCTTGTCTACACTAAAACTATATTAGTTATCGTTGTATTCCTCTCAAATTATAGATACCATTTTCTTATATGAAGTTGGGCTACCGTTTTCTATGAATCAGAAGCCGTAGACTGCACATTTTTTTATTTGGACATTTGTCACTAATCGTTGCAGGGAATATATAGTCATGATGGTTGTTTAAAAGTAAACTTTGGCCTAGGTCAGTGTTTAATAATTGACAGGCGTCCCCAAACACCTCAATTTCACACCAGTCTCCAACTGTTTATAAGTTTATTTTAAGGCTGACCTAAATGCTATATAAGTAAGCTTATTTAAGCACAGGTACACATAAGTACAATTATCATACATAGTGTAAATTACCTAGGATAACCCAGCGCATATGTATTTTGTTATATTAAGACACTTGATGACCATGTTCACCTATCAGTAAAACAGATGTTTCGGTGTCAGTCGACTGGTGTTGGTCAATAAAATGGTTGTAAGACCATAATTTTTAAACGGGTGGAGAGGTAAGCCAGCGGAAGGCCTCGGTCAGATGACTATCAGCTCTAATGGCGGATCATCATCGCGTCAGGAGACACTAGCTTTGTTTCCTGACGAACCTTACCTAACCTAACCTGGTGTGGGTCACATCCTGGGGACAAAATTAACATGATTTGCACGAAATTCTCTGCATAACAAAGGGCTGTGTATATAGTAGTATGTCATTGATGTCAGCTAGGCCTGTACACCTTGTACATGTACTTGTAGTAATATCATTATTATAGTTTTCTCATCGTGTATACTACTAATAATTTATTATTATTTATTATTATCACACTGGCCGATTCCCACCAAGGCAGGGTGGCCCGAAAAAGAAAAGCTTTCACCATCATTCACTCTATCACTGTCTTGCCAGAAGGGTGCTTTACACTACAGTTTTTAAACTGCAACATTAACACTCCTTCAGAGTGCATTATTATTATTATTATAATCAAGGGGGAAGCGCTAAACCCGGAGGATTATACAGCGCCTGGGGGGGGGGATGTGGAAGGCATTCAGGCTTAATTCGGGGAACTGGAGCACAGATCCAATTCCCTAAATCAAGAGCCCCTCACCAACATCAAGGAACCTTCCTTGAGGGGCTTCAGAGTGCAGGCACTGTACTTCCCATCTCCAGGACTCAAGTCCGGTCTGCCGGTTTCCCTGAACCCCTTCATAAATGTTACTTTGCTCACACTCCAACAGCACGTCAAGTATTCTTTTTTAGTAAATGTGTACAGGAGAAGGGGTTACTAGCCCATTGCTCCCGGCATTTTAGTCGCCTCATACGACACGCATGGCTTACGGAGGAAAGATTCTTTTCCACTTCCCCATGGACAATAGAAGAAATAAAGGAGAACAAGAGCTATTTAGAAAAAGGAGAAAAACTTAGATGTATATATATATATATATATATATATATATATATATATATATATATATATATATATATATATATATATATATATATATATATATATATATATATTATGTAATAAAATATTCCTATTGGTAAAAAAAATATATACTAAAAGATGGGGTGGTAGGGGAAGTGGAATATTCAAACGGCTTCAGGAAGAAATCCAAATATTCTTCCTTCAAGCCTTTTTATGCACTTCTCCGAGGCTATGGGTCCCACAATTTACACCAGAGGTGGACCCCATCCTATATATATATATATATATATATATATATATATATATATATATATATATATATATATATATATATATATATATATATATATATATATATATATATATATATATATATATGCATGTGCGTGTCTGTGAAGTGTGACCAAAGTGTAAGTAGGAGTAGCAAGATATCCCTGTTATCTAGCGTGTTTATGAGACAGAAAAAGAAACCAGCAATCCTACCATCATGCAAAACAGTTACAGGTTTCTGTTTCACAGTCATCTGACAGGACGGTAGTACTTCCCTGGGTGGTTGCTGTCTACCAACCTACTACCTACAATAATATAATAATAATATCTTTATTTACTACAAATACATGTACAAAATATACAATCCTAGCTGACATCAATGTCATACTACATTATAGATAGCCCCTTGTTATGCTGAGCATTTCAGGCAATTAGGCGTGTCCCAGGATGCAACCCATACCAGTCAACTAACACCCAGGTACCCATTATACTGATGGATGAACATAGACAACAGGTGTAAAGAAACACGCCCAATGTTTCTACCCTGGCTGGGAATCGAACCCAAACATAACAATATTTTATTACCTGTAAACTACATTATCTTTATACTTACTGCATAAACAAAATAAATTACATTATTTGTATACCTACTGCATAAAAGAAATAGAGTATTTGAATTTGAATGTGGACTCGTGGTAGCTGCTGCTCTTGGGCCTGTCTGTATTTTTGTCCTGCTATGATAGTTGTATTTAGACGTGTCATGTGTTTTGGAAAGCATTGGGGATTTCATATCTCTAGTAACATAATTGAAGGTCCAGGTAGAACTGCTAAGCTTAAAGGTTTTATGGGACTTGCCTCTTCATTTATACAGAGGTTTTAAATGTACTCTATTAGGTTAAAAGTACCTCTGGGAGGATGCATCACCACCACCATCCAATGTATACATAACTAAATGTAAACTTTGCCAGATGGGTAATTGTCACATCTTGCATCATTATGTGCTGAAATACGATACTTTTAATGAATTCAGAGACAACTCAGAAATGTTTAAGAAATGTCAAAGTATTTTACCCAGTGGCATATTACCAACCCTTCCGGAAACATACCTTGACTTTGCCTATTTATAATTAGCTCATAACCCCTTAAACCTGGGCAGATGCGTAAGGAAACTTGCACATGATTCGCCTGATTTAGGGATTGATACCAAGACCTATCAGTTGAGTGGAGGGGTCTCATCATTGACGTTCTCATTTCCCCTCATGGCCCCTCTCTTACCTGCCTTTCCCTGAACATCTGTGATTTAGATTTTAGATTTTGCCACCGAAGTGGCTAGTTTATTGTGCACCCCATATCCATCCTGTGGACGGTAGCGCGAGAGCATATGGATATACAAAAGGCCTAGGAACTAGGCCCCAAAGGGTTAACAGGAATACATATGGATTTATATCTACATATCTATAGTTCACTTATCTGTTACAAGCAAATTTAGGAAATTTGCTTAGTATATCTGGTATCTTATTTTCATTAATAAGATATCTTGACATGTCACATAGGTTATTATACTGTCTGTCTCTGTATTCCTCAATAAGTGGACAATTAAGCACATAGTGTTCAAGAGAGTGACCATATGCCTGATCACATAATTTACATTTAGTTTGATCATCATCTGTGTGTCTCCCAAACTGCCAGAAGTACTTGTAACCAAGCCTAAGCCTGGCCACTACAACATCAGTCAGTCTGTTCACATTGCAAGTTGCTCCATAAACATACTTATCTACATTCATGTTATCATAGTGGATTATAGATCTACTCAGGCTTCTAACTGCATTCCTATAACAATCATTTTCATTATTTACTTCTCTCCTAATATTATTCCTAATGCTAGACACAGTTATACCAAAGTTATATTCTACATTCTCCTTCTGGGTACTCTTCTTGGCTAACATATCAACTTTATCATGAAGGAGTAATCCAATGTGTGATGGGATCCATAGCAATTGTACATTAATTCCTTTGTCCCTAATTTTTGAGTGTGAGAATAACCTACGCGGCCAAAGTGCTCCTCATACGTCAGTATAAGGCGGGGGTACGCAGTGTGCGCTGTCATGATGATGTCTGCTTCTTGCCAGGTCCCCGGAGTGCCAGTCCCCGGCGGACCAGAGCCAGTCAAGAGGCACTGCTCTTTCTCAGTCTCTCCTCTGCCCTCTGTGATCAGTCTAGCTTCTCCTCCGTCTCTACACCTGTTGATCCACTCGCCATCACTCTATCCTCCATACTGGACCAATACACGGGTCCTCCCTGAATCTCATCAACTTTAATCATTGTCAGTATTTAACTAGATTAATCTTCAGCAGCTGTAAACTACTACTTAAAGAGAGAAAGCAAACTTGTATACAGCCTACACTCATAATTTCAAAACTCTTTTTTCCATGGTTGAAGGTTGTGGCACAGGAGCTTAGTGGAGTCTTGTGTTGATACTTGAGCATGTGTAAGTGTGATGAAGTGGTGCAGGAGACAATGACGAGTGATGACACCAACACACAAGTAGAGAGAAGCAACAACAAGAGTAGGATTATCCCTCAGGTGAGTGACAAGTTTTATTATGTATTTTACCTGGTATGCTGCCAGGGATGACCAGCCAGCAGCCTGGTCTCAGACGAGTCCGCTGCCTAGTTACACCAACCAACAGCCTAGTCTATCTAGCATGCTAAATTGATACTCGATATTTCATGCCACACATGCAAGATGACATATTACTTAGAATACAGTTTTGACACAATTATCGAAAATACAACACCAAAATACAGCACTCTGTGCATATCTTGATATGTATGATAATTTACAAGACCACAGAAAGATTGTTCTTACATACTCCATCACACAGGATGGTTCTCATACTCCATCACACAGGATGGTTCTCATACTCCATCACACAGGATGGTTCTCATACTCCATCACACAGGATGACTAACACTCAGGTACCTATTTTACTGATGGGTGAACATGGACAACAGGTGTCTTAAGGACACACGTCCTAATGTTTTGCAGCCGTACCTGGGATTCGATCTCAGGACCTCAGTGTGTAAGATGAGTGCGCTAGTCATCGAGCTACGGGACACCATTGATTTGTTATATTCACACGTACACTGAACAATTTTGTTTAAATGTTTATTGAAGGACTTTGAAAGCAAGTCGATGAAACAAACGAAGTTTTTTATTACTGTTATTGAAAATGTCCTCATAATTGTTTGGCCGTGTCCATAATATTTGCCTTTTTTTCCGCAGATAACTATTTTTATATCTTTCTATATTTATGATCTAGAGTAATTTTTGTGTTAGGTTTAAAGCCTATCGCCTGCACGATGATAATTCAAGTATCACGTGACCTGTACATCATCAGTCATGAAAACTAGGCCCAGTTATTTATATATTTTTTTATTTATAATAAGTTACTTATTTTGTTACTGGTGTATGTACTATTCCTTTATATTTTACTCAGTTATGTTTATCTTTTGTTCATATAACACCACATTTTGTTCATATAACACCACATTTTGTTCATATAACACTACATTTTGTTCATATAACACCACATTTTGTTCATATAACACTACATTTTGTTCATGTAACACCACATTTTGTTCATATAACACCACATTTTGTTCATGTAACACCACATTTTGTTCATATAACACCACATTTTGTTCATATAACACCACATTTTGTTCATATAACACCACATTTTGTTCATATAACACCACATTTTGTTCATATAACACCACATTTTGTTCATATAACACTACATTTTATGGCTGGTCTCTATAATGCTCCTTGCATTTTTTTCTCTATATTTTTATATTACTCTTCTCTTTTTTACTTACATTTTTACTTATATACATTTTGCTGCTTATATAATTACCTGTTTACTCTTTTTTTTACTATGTATCTTTTGTTTTGAGATTTAATCAAGACTATTACCAATGTTTATGTAAGTACCATCCAGGAATGGTAATATATAGATCCTGAACTTAACCTCCTCTCAGATCTTTATAATAACTAGTTACAACAAACCAAGATTGCAAATACCACACTACTAGCCAAATACAGTCTTCAGTAGAAACAAGAATATCTTAATATTCAAGTACACTGCCAGATCCCCCAACTAAGTTTATTCAGGTATACACAAATACAGTTACATAGATTATCATACATAGCAGCATATGTGTAGAGAAGCTAGAATAACCCAAAAAAGTCCTGCATCCTTTCTTGACCATATCTGGATGAACGTAACTCCTCTAAAAGTTGACATGATCATTAACAACACAACTCGTCACTAGTCAACATTTTTTTGTTACCAACATAACCAAATCACCATTTGACACATGTATTTCAGTTACTCTCCACCACGAGGTTTCCCTGAATAATTTTATCATCTTAATAAGTACCATTGATTGGCAGAGAGAATTCAATATTGGTCAAGATATTCACTTATGTGTCCAAGTTTTCCTTCCAAAAAAAAATTCAGTGCCTCTATAACGTTGTTTCTTAAAGAAAACACCAGTTCAAAGCCAAGAGACTCAACAGCCCTTTAATCAACGGCATCTCACATCCATTGACGAGAATCATGCCTTTGAAACACAATATAGAATGGGTTTAATACCCAAAGAATTGGCGAAAAGATGTACATCAGCACTTACATTATTTATCAAGTAATCTGAAAATAATAAAGGAAGATATCAAAAAGATCTGGAAAACACACTTAAATACTCGGCTCACACAGAGTTGCTGAGACCAGAAAAATTGTACTGACCAGACTGAACCAACTCTCCATCCGAATTGCTGATATAGGGAATAAACTTAATGACTTCTTCTCAACTATGGAAAGTAACCTTGCCAGAGAAAAATCTAAGTTCCAGCGTTCAGGTTTGTGATTACCTCAGTGACAGTTACCATGGTAACTGTCAGTCCAGGTTGGACTGATGAAGCCACTGTGTGGCGAAACGTTTCCTTAATAAAGATACCCAAGAGTTGAACATGTGTCTAATTTATCAACATGTCGGTTCTGTGAACCATTCATCTACAATATTTAGTATGCACCCCATACCCATCCTGTGGGTGGTATTCAGAAGATTAAAGAGGCACATAATGGGTCCAGGGACTGGGCAGTAAGGTTTTGATAGCTGAGCAAGTTAGTGGTAAAGAACTATTGACGCTGTTCATCAAACACCATTACTCTGTACCGCTCCCTGGTCTATTCCTACCTCACTTATGGTATCTGTGCTGGAAGTTCACTACTGCATATCACATGTAAACCATTGTTACCCATCAGAAATCAGCTGGTAGAATAATCACCCAATCTTAGGTTCCAGACAACACAACCCCACTATTCAAAAATCTCAATTTACTTAATATACACAATATTCACAAGTTCCACGCATTAAATTTCAACAGGGCACTTAGAACGAGCCTCAGCCCAGCACTCAGAGTCTTCTTGGAGAGTTCCAACAGAACAATTAGAAACAATAAAAAAAAAATAAGAGACTCTTTGATATACGTTCTCGCCTCACACACTGAGTGTCCTTGGTTCAATCTCAGGCCGGGTAGAAACACTGGGCATGTTTCCTTACACCTACTGTCCCTGTTCACCTAGCAGTAAACAGGTACCTGGATGTTAGTTGACTGGTGTGGGTCGCATCCTGGGAGACAAGATTTATGGAACCCAATAGAAATAAAACAGACCTACTCCAGGTATACTCCAGGTATACTCCAGGTATACTCCAGGTCCTGGAGGAGGCACTGCCTTGGGTTATCCTGGGTGGCTAACCCTCCGGGCTAAAATCCGAACAAATCTTACCTTATTTTACCACGTATTCGATTCAACATATACAAGAACTCCATGCAAATAAAGTACAATAAGTTCCTCTTCTGTTTCAAAAATATAATTAAAGAATACCTAAATCTGACCTAATCTCTGCTTAGTCTATGTTAAAGTTGAATTTGCCAAAAGCAACCCAAATTTTAACATAAGTAATAAAAAAATATATTCTTCAATATTCACTATTTCAAACATCAGATTGTCACGTAAAGTCTCAAATCATAACTCAGATTGTTGTATAAAATGTTAAAGATTTTAAACCATAACAGTAACGTAACTCGGTTAAAACATTGTTAAGGCTGCCTGAAATACTTTGCGTAACAAGGACTTTCTATACAACACTTTATGCATGTGAATTATTCCAGTGTTGACTGATGTAATCATAAGAGGGGTTTTAAGACTGGTTTGCTATGGGTTCTAGCCTCACTTTCTGTGATTGGAATAGTACTAACAATAATATTAATAATGATAATAAAATCTTTATTCCTACAAGTACATGTACAAGGTACACAGACCATAGCTGACATCAGTGACATACTACTATACAGAAAGCTTCAGTTATGCACAGCATTTCTGGAAAACTAGGTAAATTTGACCCAGGATGCGACCCACACCAGTAGACTAACACCCAGGTACTTGTTTTACTATTATGTGAACATGGACAGCAGATGTCTCAAGGAAACACGTCCTAATGTTTCCAACCGTACTTGGGATCGATCCTCGGACTTCAGTGTGAGCTGATTGCTCTAGAAATCGAGCTCCTTTATATAAAATTGTCGTTTGTCACACGATTACCTGAAGTTTACCTGGAGAGAGTTCCGGGGGTCAACGCCCCCGCGGCCCGGTCTGTGACCAGGCCTCATGGTGGATCAGGGTCTGATCAACTAGGCTGTTACTGCTGGCTGCACGCAATCCAACGTACGAACCACAGCCCGGCTGGTCAGGTACCGACTTTAGGTGCTTGTCCAGTGCCAGCTTGAAGACAGCCAGGGGTCTGTTGGTAATCCCCCTTATGTATGCTGGGAGGCAGTTGAACAGTCTTAGGCCCCTGACACTTATTGTGTTGTCTCTTAACATGCTAGTGACACCCCTGCTTTTCATGGGGGGATGTTGCATCGTCTGCCAAGTCTTTTGCTTTCGATGTGAGTGATTTTCGTGTGCAAGTTCGGTACTAGTCCCTCTAGGGACTAGTATGCGCGCCGTGAAGGTTCTCTGTACATTTTCTAGGTCAGCAATTTCACCTGCCTTGAAAGGTGCTGTTAGTGTGCAGCAATATTCCAACCTATATAGAACAAGCGACCTGAAGAGTGTCATCATGGGCTTGGCATCCCTAGGGATGCCAAGGATTAAGGCAAATTCTCAAATGTATATACACATTAGATATATGTATTTATATGTATTTACACAGATATGCACCTATCGATGTATATTTGACCTTAATTAACCCGGGATATATGTCTTAGGTCATGAGGACAATAAAAAGATTAGGTGATGAAAGACTGGATATCAGATTGGAGGGAGAGAGTATGGAGGAGGTGAATGTATTCAGATATTTGGGAGTGGACGTGTCAGCGGATGGGTCTATGAAAGATGAAGTGAATCATAGAATTGATGAGGGGAAAAGAGTGAGCGGTGCACTTAGGAGTCTGTGGAGACAAAGAACTTTGTCCTTGGAGGCAAAGAGGGGAATGTATGAGAGTATAGTTTT